GGGGGTGGGGGTGGGGTTAATGAACAGCTCTTGTTGATGCCAAAATTGGTTAGAACAGAGTTTGTACACTGGTCAATTAACAGGCTGAGGACAGGGCAGGAAATTTATCTAATAAAATATGTAAATGTTCAAATGTGCATGAAATTATTATGTACATTTATACAGAACTTCACCACTTCACACACTCTGCATACCTATGTTAAGTGCAATGTATGTATCTACTCCTACTGAGCCTGGCTGCATCAACTTTCTTTTTAAGCCTTTTCTTTTCTTTTTTCTTTTTTTTCCCTTTCAATCAACGCTCTTCTCTAAAGAATATGTTTGATGTGTTCATTAAAATGCACATGTAAGAATGTTTGATGACAGAGGTAGCTTTTGCATTTAAATCCATAACAATGTCCAAATGCAGAGATGAGACCTTAAACAAACATGGAACTGAACCTGACAAAACGAAAAATGAATCCAAAGAAAGCCAATCAGATTTGATCAGTGATGCAGGTCAGTGTTGGAGCTGAACGGCAGGATGAGTCGCAAGGGACATTACTTGGGTCTCACGATAGTTAAACACTGTAAGGGACCTGGGGGAAGGTTTACAGACTTACCAGGGCTGTAGCTAGCATGAGGTAAGACGAGGCAATTGCCTCGTCTTAATTTTGGCCTTTTTTAATTTTTTTCTTAAAGATTGACTTTTCTAAACCTCTAGCATTTCTAAACCTCTAGATTTGAAAGTTTTCTGGGGGGCATGCCCCCAGACCCCGCTAGCGGCTCGCGCCTTCGGCGCTCGAAACTTGCCTCGTCTTGTCCTGAAATCTGGCTACAGCCCTGCTTACTCAACAGCATAACATTACAAGTGCCTACCACCTTCCTGGAAGGAAGGAAGGCACAGCAGGCACAGCCAAAAACCCTCACATAAATATTTAAGGATTTAAAAGGCAGATAATTTAACAAAGAATGTGAATGTACAGCACAGGAAGTCTATTGTTTTGTCAGTATTACAGAATGATGTATTTCTTATGGCCTCTTCAGGGGAATAAAGCTAAGTGTCAAGGATTGGCTGCATGATTGAGTTGTCAGCTTATTTTATACTTACTGTTTTTGTGTATTTGACTTTACCAAGAAGTTCAGGGGCCTATGAAAAGAAAAAATAAGCAAAATTGATTCAAACTAACAATTTCTTTTAGAATGGCTTATAAATAGCAGATTTCTCCATCTTTATTGTAACTTATGGAACCTTGTTTTCTCTACTTGCATTTATGGCCTACACACTTTGCACTTGGGCCATAAATTCATACGGAAGAAACTTAGTCTATAATTTAAAGAATGGATCTCAAACTCAATTTGTAAGAACTGTATGTACTCACCACATATTTGAGAGTTCCCACAAAAGTGGTGGCCAGACTTTCTTGATCCAGTTGCTTAGCATAGCCAAGATCTATAATTTTGAAAACCACCTGGAAGAACGTGCAGAAAAACAACAGTGGGATGTGTCATGAATCCATGACAAATTTCAAAAAGAAAGGAACAATTGTACAACACAATGACCCCATACATTTTGAAACCCGACCTTTCAGTCTAGCCACTAACTGAGATTTCCAAGGCAATGCATAGTTTTTTATGCAACTAAGCTACAATGGGTGACACAATTAGGTGGTAAATAACATTTAAGACCAGTTTGCTCCTATAAACCGGTGCCTTTCTCGTTCCTATTTGCTATAAAACCGGTATTGTACAGGGTGAAAGCTGCAGTTGGGTTTAAGTAGAGATGTAAGGTATACCAATGGTATGCTATTCCAGAATATTGAAACATCACTGGTAATCTGTCAAACATTTTCCCACTGACTGATTAAAAGCAAGCTTAAAAAACTCCCAGCCTGAGCCATGTCTTCCTCTGCTTCTTCTTACCTTATCTTGTGCATGACTTATCACAATGTTCTCGGGTTTGATGTCTCTGTGTATGATGCGATGACCATGAAGAAATTCAACTGCAGCCGCTTATCAAATAAAAAGAACAACAGCACTTTATTCATTGCACACCTAACCAAGGTAATAGAGTCTGCTGTACAGCTTGTACATAACAATCAAGTGTGGCATTTCCCATAATTCTCTGAAGGTGCTTTCTTCCCCTAGATCCCCCTTCAGGCTCACGCCGCTGACACATGTTTCTTTGGCCGTCTTTGCTAAACCTTTCCAGCCTTGACTTACATCAAAACCTAATCTAACTTTACCCCTTATAACTAGTAAGCTTTATAATCACCCCTAGTTTCACAAATTTCTCACCAACATCCAAAGCCAACTTCACAACTGTCTTTTCCTTCAGCCCACAGCAGCTCTCTGGGGAATTTAGTACCTGACCATTAAGATTTACAGAAAATAGACAATTAAACAAATTTCATTACTCCTGAAAACCAATCATTTCTTAACAATAACATTCAAATATTGAATTATGTAAGTTTTAAACCATTTAACCACAGCCACCTTTAATAGAAAGTAGATGCTTGGGGTATCCATTGGCATGCTATTGAGTCCAACCAATGCTTAAAAATTAATAAAATATTTCAAACATTTTTTAATATTTGTAAGAGAGTGCACCTTTCTCAAATCTCCTCCAGAACAGAATTCCATGGCTAAGAGAGGAAGTTCAAAAACACCAACATTCAATGGCAGTGGAACATCAATAGCTGACACAAGGTTGGGGTGATGAAGTCTCTTCATGATTTCAATTTCCTGCCGCCATAGTCTCTCATTTTGAGGATTCAGTGTCAAGCGACATTTCTTTAAGGCTATCCGTTCCTTAGAAATCTATAACAAATATCATGAATGCAAAATGTGACCAACCCTAATTCTTTGACCTTAAAGAGTGACCAGCATCTAATTTCTCCTTGCAATATCACCCTTGAATCAAACATAACATCATGAGAATAAAGGAAATGATCACCAACTAGAGAAACTCTTAATTGTCAAGCAAATTCATGTTAACAGCACCTAAGGAAATATGTACAGGAAAATATGGAGAATATGCACATGAATCCTTTAATTCCCATGAGTGACCAAGACAGAATTTCTCCTTACAATATCAATATAATATCAATCAGACAAGTGATGAGAATAAAGAAAAATATGTAAACAAATTAAATTTTTGCAAGACCAAATATAATACATATAAGATGATTAAAGAAAGTGCAAACTCCCAGAAATCTGAAAATTTTTTAAATAAAGAAAAGCTTCAGCCAGTGGGTTTTAATATGGGTACCTTATTTTCATAGAGTATAACAGTTCCAAAGGTCCCTGTGCCAAGACACCTTTCTTCCACCCACCCCTCCTTTGACAATTTTCTCTGCCTTCCATTTTCCATCTCCTGGTGAAAGACACACAGATTCACTTTCTTACACTAAAGTAACCTTGTGTTAAATAAATTCATCTGTGATAGTGTTGATTCAGCATCAAGTAATCACTCTATCAAGATCTTGTTTTTAAAACAAACTGAAATCAGTATTAAAGGAAGGAATCTTTAATAGAGAGCTCCATATAAGTTTGGGTGGATGTAGGTAAAAATCATGACAGGATATGAAGTGAAAATTTTCATAACAGATTAGCAATTGCTGGATTTTATAGTCCAAATGCCATCTATGTACAATAAGCATATTTTAAATTTAAGAAAGGACATTGAAGTAAGATCTATTGAAATAGATGTCCCCATGATATTAACAAAAGGATCGATAACACTGTGGCTACTTATAGTTTCGGTTCATAATTCTTCCTTCTAGCTGGTATGTACTGTGTTCAATCCTTGTAAATCAGTTGAGACCACAATTCGTTTCTAACCAAGGTGACACCCTCTTCACCTACAATTGCCTTACCATCTTCCGACAGAATAATACATTAATTCATTATAAGGACGAGTTAAGTTGAAGACTTTGGGATTAGATCAAGGCTAATAAATGTGATCTGTTTTGTAGTCTAGAGTACTACACCAAAGATAAACGTTGCTTTGTACCAAAATAAGGCATTAAGAAGCAATGTTCATATCATAAACATCGGTCATTACCAAGTCAATGTAATAAGATTACTGGGAAATAATCGTTTGTTATGTTGTTTTATGTCATATTGCTAGCAAATGAACCGAACCTAATTTTTAGAGCAAACTTCACTTGTAAATATGCTTGAATCATCACAAATTTTAAATTATACCTTACAGCAGTAAGACCATTCAACTGTAAACGGGATTTAACGTTAACATATCGAGCATAGTCCAGCTGTTCTCACCTCCATGTTTATATGGGAATAATTGAGCGAATGCGGTTAATAACTATAAGCATTAAACGTGCTAGAACAGAACATCTAGTATTATAAAGGTGATCCTTTGAAAGGTCATTGGTGAGCTGAGAACCCAAGGAATTAGGTAACTTGAATGTAAGCTGCCTGAAAGGTGCGGTGCTCTCAAGATACCAATAGGTCTGGATCTGAAGTCCTTTCGTTAATAAAGCTACTATGACATTAGTATCCTAGCGATCGATCGAATTCAATTCCGGTTGCCGGTAAATATGAATTTCACACGGGGGTATTAAACAGGATACAAGAAAATTCCCCAACAACTGTTTTCAGTACCGGTTAACAACCCCAAAGTTCAAATTTGCCCAATAGCTTCGATTCAATGTAATCTTACTGCGGACATAAACTAGTTGCTCAAATAGAATGTCACTACGGAAAAGCTCAATATGTTATTCTTTTTTACTGTACAACTGTACAACAAACAGGAAACAGGGATTTCAAGGTAACTGTTTGCGAGTGATGTTGTAAAAGTTTGCAAAGAGAAGCAAGGTTCGAAAAAGTTGTTAGACTAACGAATTATCTGTAGATGTTTTCCTAGCAAAGAACATGAATTTAAAGGTTTCCATTACATAAACTTGTTAAAATTACTGCGTACGCAGCCAACTAAAAAGCTTTGCGCGTATTTAGCTAAATTACCTCACGAGCCACTGAACTTGAAGACTAAGCCAAACTTCACTCAACGCAAGGCCCGTGGAATTGGGCTTTCATCGTTTTGACAGTATTGTATTGTCCAACTACAGAACTTTCCTGCTCTCCTCGATGCCTCCAAGCGTAAATCAGATAATTACAATTGTGTCCAATTCAGTGCAAAAAGCAAGGTTGTATGCGTATAGCGGAGGATAAATTTGTCGAAATTACTTCACCTCGTCAAGTTGGGAATTTCCCCGAAATACGGAAGTTCTGCGAGAGAGGAGTGTTGTGGGTAAAATATTCACTCCTCAGGAGAGGGGAGCGGGATTTCGAAAAGAAATTCAGCTAAATTACAAAGACTTAGTAAATAGTCGCATCTCTACTCAATTTGACACTCACTTGACCTCCCGCAATAACAAGCTTCGTAAGATAGATGGTTTGCTTATCTGCTGAAGTCGTTTGAAGTTTGGTTAGGATGGGGAGAGAGAGGAAACGAAAATTCTCCAAAATGGCGGCATTTGTTATTAACGATGTGTGCAAAAACAGAAGCTAAAATATCTAACAAAAAATCGCAGACAAAATGTTTAGCTTCCTCATTTAGTGCATATGTCCGAAATTAACTTGTTTACTTCTATGCTTAATTCAAGGAAGTTATTCACCTATGGGTCATATTAACAATTTTGCAGAAAATCCGAAAATGAAACCGGATGTTCCGCTTGGAAGACTGTCACCGTACTATTTAAAGTCCAAAATTGGAGTATACTTTCCGATCGCGGAAGAGCATCAAGAAACTTGGAAAATATCACCTAAAGTTTTAGTGTTTTATTCTTGACACTAGAAAACAGCTAAGATTTTCTCTTTTTTTTTTCTTTTTTTCCCCCTTTTTTTTTTTCACTCTTATCAGTACTGAGAGCAATATAAACCCTACCCATCAGGTAGATAACATTGTACCTATAGTAAGATGTTCTTTGAATAATGAACTTCTTTTTTCAAACTAAAATTGAAAGATGATATGAATGCATTTGGGGTAATGAGCGAAAATGTTTTGCAATTGTCCGGGCAACTCACCCGAGTGCGAAACTTTTTTTTGCGATAATTGACATTTGGCAACGAGGGAAGTAGCAGGTTTCGTGGAAATATTATCATAAGAAAAGCAGAGATGGATTAGTACACGGCGCTAATTGAGGACAGAACAGGTTTCTAGTTTCCAATAAGTTCGATATAGCACCGTATTATTAGTTCGTTTTATCAGCAATAGGGAGACAGAAAGGCTTCTTCAGGGTTGGTTACCACGGCTAGTGAGTGTGCATGACTTAAGACAATCACTAATTCAAACCCGGCAATAGGGTCGTTTAACAGACTGGGAAAAGGAAGGAAAGACAAATCAAAAACAAAACAAAACAAAACAAAATCAAATTGTGTCTCATTAGGGGCAATGGTTGCCGAGTGAACATCATGTTATCATGTGTTCCGAGTCATTTAATGCAGGAAGTTCATTAACCGATACAGTTGCCATTGAAAGAAATATTGACTTCCTTGTTTAATTTATACCGCTGTTAAGGCTAGACAGGGATAAACACGAGGCTGGCACACGTCAAGAGAACACAAAATCTGTGACTACGGGTTATTTTCTAGAAATTAGACAGAAAAAGTGTGAAAGTATACAGAATTGTGACTCGTCTCTTAAACGTTGCTTTTGAAGAAACAGTTGAAACAAGTCCACATCCAGTTTGGTTTTCGCGGATGATCTCAACGGGTGTTGTGCCCTAGAAAACCGTGAAGACAGATCAGTGTGGCGGTAAATATTAGCCGAGCGTTTTCCAATTGTTCACCAAACTGCTGGTTTGTTAGCGCTCAAAGGTTGGTAAGCTGTCCTTGATAAGTCTTTATTTCATTGTAATTCAAGATGTTTTCAATGATAAAAAGAAAAGAAAACTTAAAAGAAAACCATTCGGCAACGTGTTTCTTATAACACAGAATTTTGTTTAATCACGCTTTTCCTTTGTTCCAGTTGATATCGCATCCTTGGTCATGAATGACCTCAGATTGCAGCGTTATCCCAAAGAAGAGCTGTGTTTGTTCGGCTATCTACAATATCATTAAGTTATAGGAAAAATCCTTATTGAACTCGTGTCTTCAACAGTCGCCGATTCGCTATCGAAATCCCTCTAAGAGTGATTTCGCCTCTGGTCAGTAGAAGCTTTTAGTAAGCTGAAGTTAGTTAGTTTGCTCTAAAAGGTTTCCTCTGTAGAAGTCAAGTCGTAAAGTTTGTTCCTCAGAACCTCTTAAAAAACTGATATCATTTTCCATCTGACAATTAGTATTTTCTTATATCTTAATTAATCCTACTAATTTTGCAAGACAGGAACAATGTGCCAGCGAATAGGCCACTGATAATCACTCTCAAACAAAAGCCTTGACACATGAAGCGTGTTTTCAAACTTAGAGACCTTGGAGAAAGAACTACCCTTTACGAACGAAATTTCTTGGCCGCCTTGATAGACCGAGTTATGTTAAGATATCCTTTGAACAAATGAATAAATATTTCTGTGAAAAGTTATGGCAATTTGGGTCAACACTTGTTGGACATTTTACTATTTCCGCAATACAAAAACCAACTCTTCCTGATAAAAAGTTTTGATAAATAAACCTTTACCTGCTCTTTTATGATCTCCATACTTTGTGCGCTACTTCGAGTCCCTCGCATAGTTAATGGCCATGGGTATCCGGTAAACTGGATGATGCTTTCTTCGAAACTTGTGCACTGTTTCTGTCCAGAGTTCATTGCACAATGAACAAACGTAGCCCCTTTTACACCACAAAGTAATTTGAAACATCGACTCAGAGAAGACAGTTAGATGAAACCTATAATCGCATAAGGAGGTGTTGAAATTCGGTATTTAGAGCCGGCGAGATACCAAAGAATCGATAAAATGATGCAATGTTGTGTTTCGACTGTACAAAACAGCGAAACATCGAAACGAAACAACGAAACGGTTAAGCACGGAAACTAAACGTCGAAAAAGGGAAATTTTTCCTCTCGGTCAACAGAAAAATTCTGGTTTACCCTTACAAACTTTGTGGCAGTCCTCCAGAACTGCTAAGTTTTACTGCGTTCAGCAACCAACCCCGAGAAATAAAATCTTTAACTCTAACTCGTTTTCCAATCGGTCACCATCCACAGAATTGTGATCAATCTCATTTCATTCAGACCCTTTCTGAAAGGTTATCCAATCAAAAGCTGTCGAAAGCCTAGAGAAAAAGAACTCGAAAGCGCAAGCGATAGTTGAACCTGCTCTTGTGCAGATGCTGATGAACCACTTAGCTACGAACGAAATTGATATGCGTTGATCATGTTAGGTTAGTACAATGTTTAAGATTTAATCTTAGCAATACTGGCTAACAGCCCAACATACGACGCATAAAATCAGTCCTCCAAGTACAGACTACGTCCGTCGCGCGGGTGACAAAAATCATTGAGAAAAACAAAATTGATGTTCGCACGCCGCGGGGAGCTCTTGGGGGGGAAGTCGATGCGATTTTTTCCAAGCGCCTCATTCATGGGGCTCCCGCGGCGTAACGTCACTTCAAGAGTTCCCCACTGCGCGCTAACACCAACTTTTTTTTTTACGCGCGTGACAGCCTTCGCCGAAATGGAGGGACTCCTCGTAGTCTACTCCAACTGAACCTGCCGGACGAAAGTCGAATGCGCGGTCACTCAAAACTCCAAACCGCATATTTTCCCTTGAAGATCAATACCCTTTCGAAACACTTTCAGCTGACTATTCTTCTTTGTTGTTGGAGTTATCCAAATGTATACAAAAGCAGTACCAGTGGGGGCAATTCGTTCTCACCGTTCATGGTTTATACCTTCTACAATTCATCGCTTCGTTTCAGTCATGTGTATGGTTCTCACTTTCATGTTGATCTACAATCGCACAGGGAGGGGGACTGGTATCGCCAACTTGTTGATGGTGATGTCATGGACTCAACCGACACTTTGTGTCAGTTAATAAATGAGTTCTTTGTGGGGGACTGACCGCGTCATTCACACCTATCTCCCAAGGCAATGTCGATGATATCACTGTTGCTGACATTCCTGATGAGCTGTGGGTCACTGACTTCGAGGTACTCAATGCCTTAAGAGCAGTGCACACCAAGAAGTCCACCGGCCCTGATGAAGTACCCAACGTGGTCTTAAAGATGTTTGCTTCTGAGCTCGCCCCAGTTCTCGCGGATCTGTACAACGCCTCTCTTCGTGAAGGGTATCTCCCTTCCCTGCTCAAGCGTGCTATTGTGAGGCCGGCCCCTGCCGAAACAAACCCCTGCTAAGACGATAGAAGACGACATCGGGCCCGTGTCGCTTATCTCGCAGATGGCGAAGCTTATGGAAGGGTTTACCTTAGCAAGAATCCTTCCGGATGCGAACTGGACCCGAAACAGTTTGCAGTTGCTAGCAAGTCAACATGCCATGCAATTTGCTACCTTCTTCACCTCGCCCTTGAGGCGCTGGACAGTGGGAACTGCTGGGTTAGGTTCTTCTTTGCGGACTTCCGAAAGGGCTTTGATCTGATAGATCATAACATTCTGTCAATGAAGCTTAAATCCCTTAGTTTACACCCCTGCTTAGTTAGATGGCTAGCCGCCTTTTTACTTGAGAGATCGCAATGTGTAAGGATATCTGATTCATCGCCTCCTTGTTTACACCTTAACGGGGGAATCCCTGAAGGGACGAAATTGAGTCCAGTTCTGTTCGCCATTATGGTCAATGAGCTAGTCAAAGATTGCGGGCCTAGAGCCAAATACGTGGGCGACCTCAACATGATGGAGGCTGTTCCTCGGAACTCATCGTCAGTCATTGGCTACATTGTACATTCCACTCAGGTATTTGCTTCAGATAATATGTCTCTTAACCCCAAGAAGTGTAAATCTATGGCGGTGGACTTTCTTCACTATAACAGCGTCGTCTGCCCTCCCCTGGTAACCGGCGGATCTGTGATTGAGTGTGTCAAGTCGTTTAAATTTCTCGGGGTTTATTTATCAAGCGACTTGACATGGAGGAAGCACACGGACTATATAGTTAAGAAGGCTAACCGTAGGCTATATGCCATCAGAACGCTCAAGCGCTGTGGAGTGTCCCAAGCTGACATTGTCGGGGTGTACTGCACGCTCATTAGGCCTCTTCTGGAATATGCGACACCTACTTTCGCCAATCTTCCACAGTACTTGTCGCAGGCCCTAGAGAAGAGGTCCAGAAACGCGCACTTGCCATCGTTTGTCCGAACCTTGTATATGCAGATGCGCTAGCTGCGTCTCGGATCGCCACGCTTGCGGATAGGTGCGAAGAAGCTTGTAAGAAGCATATACGTACCCTGACACCGTAAAACCTTGTTTTCATTATTGTCTAAAGCCGCCTCGCTTAACCAAGTAACAAGTACAATCTTAGGTTTTCTTCTACTAGTTATGTGAAAAGCACAAAAACTGACCGTTTTGGAATGTTTGTAACGAACAAGTTTGCCACTTACTTAAATCAAAATGTATAAAAATCCATTCTTTATTAATGTATTTTGTTAGTTTACTTTCATGTATACAATTTGCTGACTATGCCTGTAATTCAGATTTTCTGCAAGGGGTATAAATAAACAAAACAAACCAAACCAAACCAATCTCGGTACTGACATTGGCCTGCAGAACAGGCACTTATTTTTTTTGCACTTTTAAGGCAAGCAGAAGCAAGCACTAAAAAGATGGCTTTTAAACAGCTTCGAACAAACAAACGGACATGGTCTCGTTACATTTTAAAACGCTGCACTCGCTTGGGGATTTTTTGTCAGTGAGGGTTGACGTTTTCCGAAGAAGCTCCGAGCGGGACCCAACGACAGAAACATTTTGGGGCTCACACGGTGCCCAAGAATTCGTTTTGAACGAAACCAAGAATGTTTCGAGTTGAAATGAATGAAAAGGGACACTTTCTAAAGAAACTCGGTAGGGGTTATTACAAGTTAATTTGGTCTTTTCAACCGAGTCAATAATGTAAATTCGCCAACGTGAAGATTTTCTTAAACAGACGTTTCAAGCGTTCGCCTTTCGTCGGAGGGAATTGCTAATTTACCATGGTCCCTTTACTTTATCAACTTTGTTGATAAAACTAAACTATCTTGTTTCAATTTTTTTTTTCACTCTTCTTCTTAAATTTCTTTTTGGCGCAAAGTGAGTGGGTTCCAGCCTCTTCTGTATCAGAAATATCAAGTCGATTTTCGTTTGACAAAAAATAACCTTTTAATTTCTCTTAAAACTCTTTACAAAATTCAACAGATCATAAAGTAGTTTCTATAAACAAATAACGGAAATAATATACACAAGAAAAACTCTTGAAAGTTTACATCGTATTAGTTATTTGGCGCTTTGTTAACAAAGCCTCTATAAGCTTCAACTGATGCTTTATGTGCTGCAACAAAAAAAAAATTGCATCACAGAGGTTACTGTCTCTCTTCCAAATCTCTGTTATATCAACTACGGGTGGAGATATAAAACACAAAAATTTGTGGAAACGACAACAGAACCTTTAATTTTTTTGCGTAAGACCAGGGTCAAACTAGTTATAATGACGATATCCTCCTGACGTTCACATGACAACATACCATATGGTTCACACACGGAGGACATGAGGCATAGCGACAAAGAACGTACACAAGGAGACATGATCAAATGACAGAAAAATACCAACATGGGGAATGTCGTAAAGGGAAAAAAATTGATGTTTTTTCCTTGATGTGGTTTTAAGATCATGTGTCCGCATTGCTGATGATTAGATGTACACGCAATACTTTGCGAATAAATCGAGGTTCGTTTGGTGAGATGACGTCAAAATTGAATATTTACGCATGTGAATTTCCGGTCTCCTTTTACAAGTAAGAACAAGGTGGTGTTACAGAAGCAAAGCAAAGAAAGAACTGTGCAGATCTTACCTTATACTCGTGGTAATCGTTTTGCATTTCACCTCTGTCGTCTCTCTGCACACGCCTGGAAGGCAAAAATAAAAGTAATTACTAAAACATAAAAACAAAACTTACATGAAAAAAACAAAAAAAACAAAAAAAAAAAAACATTTAAGACCACTGAAGTTATGGTTTGCTGTTGTGTGTAGACAACCAAAACAAAAACAAAGCGTGGTTGATGGTGGAAAGTAAACACTGCTTGAAAAAAAAAAACAAAAAAACAACAACAACAAAACAACAACAAAAAAACCTAACAAGATTTATTACAAAGCGCAAACAGAGACGAGCCATTACAGAACATTGCTGTTGCCAATGAAACGACGTCACACTAATGGAGATGGCATATCGTGGCTTAAAAACTGTAAGCCAAGAAATGTTAACACCATAGTGTCTGGTATTCTCGCGTTTGTGGATGAGACGACTTATCGTTGCATTATATTTTTGAAACAATCAAGAAATAATACGTAAGACATATCAGTCATTAAATCTTTGCGACTTTGAACCGTGACATACTGAAATACATTCTTGCGTAATCTGTAAACTGGAAAACCGAACGTTTATGCAGAAGAATTTGTTGAAAGAGCCTTTTTTTTTCCTACGAAAGTTAACTAGTGTGACTATTACCTTCCAGTCTCCTCTAAGAAATCACCTTCAAATTTCTTTAATTTCTTTCTCATTTTCTTTTTCTCTTTTCTTTTAAGCTCTAGCTGTTCAATCAACTCATCTCTGAAAAGTAAAATAAGAAAAATCCAATATTAATTTACCATAAGGAATCCCAAGCCAGGAGAAGCGGTTTGGTAAAAAACAGAACAGACGGCATCCAAAAGGCGCCTTACATGTAAAATCCCTCTGCGGTATGAGTCCACGAATCAGCTAATAAGCAATGGGAATTGATAAACCTATCCATTATTTCCTTTTGATAAAAGAACAAATTCTCGCATGTAATTTACAAGGAAAAGTAAAACGGCTATAAGCGAGAACCCAAATGAAGATTTTGGAAGTGAGAAGATTGCTATAAGACCAGTGTGGACACTTGAGATTACCGTAGATCCTCTAACAAGCCCCCCGAATGGCTTAGTTATTTCAGGTACTTTGGGGGGGAGGGGATGGCGTACTAAGGGGGGGCTTATCATTTTAGCCCAATGTTCACTACCAGGATACAAAAGGATATGACCTACCGTACTTATTCAAAAATTGTACTTATTTTACATTTTTCCTTTACCAAATTGGCCGAGTCAAAAATCTTCAGTCTAATGAGTTGTATGATTTGTGATAAATCATCTTGTAAATCAGTAAAGCAGAAACACGACCATAATCAATTTTAAATGACAAACTAAAGTTACAATACCTGATTAAATTTACCGTACTGACATGGAGTGTTAATTCGAATTTTCGTTTTTTGAAGGGGAGGGGGGCCTTAATAAAGGGGGGGTTCAATAAATTTCTTCCTCTAAAGAAGGGGGTGGTTTATTACAGGGGGGTGGGTTATCAGAGGGTGGACTTACTAGAGGATTTACAGTATGAGAATAGTCAAACTTACTGGCTCATTTCGTGGAATTTAGCGTCCTCTCTAAGCTCGTCCCTGAGCTGAGTAGAGTCACGGAGAGACAGTGTGTCCTGGATTGTGTCACCAAAAGTATCATCATCATCAAAATCTAATGTGTCTGTAAAGGGCATGTTGCCTGTACTGCGCCTTCGAGGTAAGTCCTGTAAACAAAACGGTCTTACGTAAAGAACTCTTCCAGATCTTCAGGTAAACAGTAGCTATCAATGGACCTTTCACATCTATTCCGGTTTTTCAAGAGTCAATACCCAAGCCAGGTGACCCATTAAACCTGAGCTTATACCGGTTTTCAAAGCAGTCCACCTTGTGCGTGAGTCACTTTTTTCAGCAACTGAATTTTTATCGAAAAAAGGAAAGAATTGCGGAGCCTGGAAAAGACTCGCAAAGGGGAGTGTTGACTAAAAGAATCGAATTTTAAACCTTCCATTTCGCGGCCCATTGCTGTACCAATTCAATTACAAAGAATCCAATACTGGACAAATCCACATATTAAGTTCATATGTGAAAAGGGTCCAGCACACTGTTAAGGTCAGTCATACTAAAACCGTGTGTACCGAAATACAAGAACTAAGATTTTAAATTTAGTTTGTAAAAACAGAGTTGGAGAATTGCAGGCTACCTTGCCGCCAGAGATGGGAAGAGACTGAGTAAGGTTTCTGGCAGGAGAGCCTCCACTGGGTGAGTGCAAAGGAGCATCTTCGTGAATTGGAGCCAGATCAGATACCATTCTATCGATTGAACTTGTACGCGGCCGGTTACCTTGGACTTTCACTGGCGGTTCTGTGACGGGTGTGGAAAGTTTCCGCTTGATTATGCGGTATCTAGGGAAACATTCAGGTCAACTAATCAACAAAGTGCAAAATAATTAACAATTATTCCACGAGCGCGCGTTGGATATGAGATGATAGATAGCCAACGAGGCCCGTAGCGCCGAGTTGGCTATAATCATCTCATATCCAACAAGCGCGAGCGAAACGATTGTTTTATCAAAAAGCCAATTTATTAAAAAGCCATTGTTTCTTGAGGGAAAAAAATTTTAGCTCCTTTTTTAATTTTAAGCTGACGCGTACGTTTACCATATTTGTAGATTATGCTATATTGGCGCATATACCATAATGGCTAAGCCAATAAAAAGTCTTGAACTGCATTATCCAATGATCCAGTTTTTAATAATAATAGAATTAGATAGTCTCAAACATCTCACCAAACCCTTTTCTCACATCTCTCGTCAAAATCTTAGCAGTTACCTGTCATACAAAGGCCTCATCACATCCTTGTCTTTTTTACTATTAGGCCGACCGAACACACTTTCGTGTTGAAGTAGCGCCTTTTGTACTGCTAGCTTCTCGTCCTGAAGCTGGTCTCGACTCATTTGTTCTACTTCCTCCGGTCTGCCGGTTTCCTTCCTCTTTTCTTGCAACTTTTTCAGCAAGCTCTCCAAGGAGTGTTCGATACTCGCTGGCGTGGTCGTAAGCAATGGTTCGCTATTACTGCTTTTCAATCCTTGTCCGCTCATCGGAGGCACAGTTTCATTCAAGCGCTCTGCCTCTCCTTTAGCGCGTTCCTTAAGCTCTTTGAGCTGTTTTCTTGCACGGCCAAGTTCTGCCACGTATTTCTTTATAGGCGCTTTTTCGCTCTGTGACGGCCTTCGACCGTTTTCGTCCTCGAATGTGTCTTCGAAGTCGCGTATTTTCTTCTTGAGCTGACTGATTGTCTTAGTGAGTTGCTTGACGGTTAATTCACCCTTTGGAGATGTATCCACTCTGAAAGATACGAAGAAAAAAGAAAGAAGGAAAATAAATATTTGGTGATCCTTTGCAAAGTGTTGACCAAGTTCTGCAGCCTGGATAGGAAATCTTTAAAAGGTTTTTCTAACAGTTACCATAAATCTCCAACAATTTAAAAAATTTAATGCCCAAAAGTATCTAGGGTAAGTCTTACAAGCCTAGTGTTCGACATTACTCTTTAATTTACTCCCAATAAATGGATAGAAAACGAAATAAAGTGAAGAATCGAAGCGTGTGCTACAAATAAATTACAAGTAATAAGTTATTACAATTATACATGCGGAGATTGACGAACGAGAAAAAAAAAAAAAAAGGAACAGAAAAAGACACTTACAAATGTTGTACGAAATTCGGGATAAATGGTAAATTGAAGACGAGAGAGGGTTAGCTTACGGTCAGTTAAACGATTGATCAGAATGAATCAAATCCACCGTGAAGAACTTATACTTGTAAGTGATATCAGCAAAGGAAAATTATTCAGAATAACGTAACAGTATATTGATAAAGTAATGCTCGTAGAACAAAAGGCCCCTCCCCCCCCCTATCAACAACGCTCCGCATGGCACGAGTTTGTTACCTTCGTTCAAACCAGGAATGCTCTATCTGCTCATGAGGCGGAGACGGAGGACACTCGTGAGGAATGGTACGGGTATCGATGGTAAGGGGCCGAGATCTAGGGGACAATAATGCTTCATCTGTGCCAAGTCCATCGTATCTTTCCCTGGGAGACAGCTGTATGCCGTCATCGTGTTGCTGGAGCTTGTAGAGCTCTAGTGGAGGGACGATGGGTGCTCCGTGATGCTTCTTCTTGTACTGCTTGGTGAGGAGTTCTTTTCTGTGTCTGAACGATGACGAATCTACTTCATCCACTTCGCCCTGCTGGAAGAGGAAAAAATATAGCTCTTGAGAAACCAAGAACAAAGTAAACATAAGAGCTTTCTTTTCAAGCCTCGCGGGGCCGAAAAAGTCCCGGTATGAGCTAGTCGGTGGCTGTCACTCCCGCTGTAATGAGCTTTAGGCATGCAAACATTCCAACAGTCCCTTTTACAGTTGTGGGCTTGGTGGCCAAGCCTTTGAACAGGAGTGAGGCTAAAAGTGACCCTGTTGTGATAGAGACCTCTATCTAGTTAGCATGATAACAAAGTAATTTGCATTTGAAAAACAGCAACATCTCTGTCATAACAAGGTCACCCTGAGCCTCACTCCTGTTCAAAGGTTTGGCCACCAAGTCCACAACTGCTGTAAAATGGACTATTATGATAATAACAAACCGCTAGGGAACCAAGCTCTCCCATAAGTTATCATAACACAAACAACGATCTATCACAAATACTGCGATCTGATTAACTGAGCTACTCGCTATCCGTTCGGTGATAGTTAGCGATTAGAGTGAGTAGCCTTATTGCATGTGGCGTGCGTGACCTGTCTGTATCATTGGTGTCTCTGTGGCTCAGTGGTAGGGCATCAGAGCGCACAATCCAAAGGCCTGAGGTTGAAATCCTCATAGCGACTCAGAATTTTTTCTTTGTCCCACGCTAGAGACAAGAGCTCAAAACTTACCATCGTTCTTAGTCTTTTTACTTTAATCTGTCTTGTTATTAAGTTTCAGGGTTCGTACACTTTTCACATGTTAAAATTTCATGACTTTCCATGACCTGTTTGCAAACATTTTCACACTGCGTGCTTCTGTCTATTTCTAATGAAATTAAATCTGATTTTTGGACTCGTCAGTAAACTTTTAAACTTTGGGTCTTTTTGCCTTTCACTCATAGAGAGCATATTGATTTTCCACGACTTTCCATGACCCACACCTAAATTTCATGACTTTCCAGGCCTGGAAAATGAAATTTTGAAATTCAATGACTTTCCTGGTTTTCCATGACCTGTGCGAACCCTGAGTTTTGAACGACTGGCAGATTTGTACCAAAACAATCGGATTGTCTGCTCTCGATTTCTACGCGGCGTTACCACTGAGAGTTTTATCTTATTTTCATTCTGTAGAGTAGCACCATCATCACTCACCTCTTGCCTGGCGGAAGCCGACTGAAGCTGAATCCTTGATGATCTGTTGTTTCTCGGTGACATGGGTGGCGTTGTCGACACTACATTTTTATTCTTTGCTTCATCAACTAAAGGATGTACTTTTGACCTATTTTGTCTCTGCTGACCACCCTATGGGAAAACCATTCAAAGTTTACCTGATAAACCAATTATTACACGCGCGAGGTCAAAATATTTGTCCATCTTGGAAGAAAATCTTGACTAAGTCTAGCAAGTTTGTTATTCGCAATCCATATCAATCTTTTCCATCCTAAACCATCCTGGTTCCTTTTTGCTTTATAATCCCCTCTTTTGTGATTTACTATCTCATCCAAATAAGATTGGGAATTCATTTACAATCCGTGTTAACTGGCTCACCCTTAATCTTCGTTGTTCCTTTGTTTCCTTCTGGTCTATTCGTGACTATGTCGCGCTTTAAGGTCTGTAACTTGTGTCAATTCATTTAAGCAATAACTGCATTTTCTAGATCGGTTCACCGGCGTACAAATCAACACTCACCTCATGGGAGAACACGAGAAAAGTTTATATTCCACGAACCGGACACAACTTGTTTACAAACGTTTTGAGCGCTCTCCCGACACCACAAGAGAGTTTGGTAAACCGATAGAAAGTGTCGTCTAATTATTGCTTTTATAAAATAAACTTCAGTTTTCTATATGGGTTTATAATGGTGCAAGTGATCTGGGCGTTTGCAATACCTGAAACATGATAGTCGAATTTTGCGCGATCAAAATTTCTGTACTAAACATTACTGGGTCGCAACTAGAGAAGGATACTTAACAACTTTGGCGCGAGGTGCGTGTGGTGCATTTACAAGAACATGTAGCTCCAAAGTATCAAGAGGTATAAAAGTTCTCTTACAACACATACAGGTCTCGTAACGAGCAAGCAGGTGGGTTTGATAGCGCATACTTTCAAAATTTACTATAGAATGATATAAATATTCACCAAGCATTCACCAATCATACCTGATCCAGGTCTTCATCATCTTCGTTTGTGAAAATCTCACTAGTTTCGTGTCGTTTCTTCAGGCTTGGTCTCCGTCTGTTTTTAGGAGGAGCTGCCCTATTACGCGTGAGAGATTCCAAAATCTCAGAAGTCCTTCTCACACTGGACAGAGGGTCACTTTTACTTTTACTTAATATTTCTTCATAAATATCCTCGTCATCCTGAATCAAACAAACAAACATACAGAAGACCTTGTAAGAATTGTCTTGAGTAGTGTTTCCAAGAATAGTAGAAAGCGGTACGTGGAATTCGAGGAATGTTGTGTTTCTTTTTAAGTCTTACACACGAACGCCGCTGGCCACTGATTTGCGTTTGTGAGCAAGATGTAATGTTTATCCCATCTAACACTCTTTCTTTCCCTTTCTAGAGGCATAACGGGCGAGAACTAATTGGTAAACGAGACGAGGAACTAATTGCGTTGATATTGTATTCTGAGCGTATTAACTTATGATAAACTAACTGCTTATTTAAAAAGGGTAGCACTATTGAGATTTAGTTAAGTTAAGCCGTGTTTGTTCTATAAAATCAAGGAAACCCGTTCACCATATCCGAAAGCGAAAAGTTTCCTTGGTCAACTTCCTTATCAGATCAACCACCAGAATTTGTCTTTGACAAGCTTTACCTCAACCTCAACAATTTTGTTAAAATTGGTTTGTCTGTCTTAGGACATGGTAATTAACAATTTTCTGTCTTCATCAGCAAAAGACCACTTTGTCATAGGGGAGCTTACCCAGGTAAATATTGTTCAGAAAAATTTGCTGTTACAGCATTAGTTGCCTTTCACTAGCTTTAATCTTCGCAGCCGTTGTTGCTATGGTCACGTAACGTTGGTGGGACAGAGGGGACGGAACGTGACCAAAAAACAGCTGCAAAGGGGTACAACTGAAGATTCAAATTTTTAACATAGCCAGCAACCTTCATAGAGGTTTATAATCAAAAACGGAAATCTCTTGTGCACAAGCGCTTGTGAAGCCGGGTAACAGAATCTTCACTCACTTTTTGACCATCGTTTTTCCGAGGAAATGTAGAGCTGAATACGTTATTGCCGTTCTTGTCCTTTGAAACAAAAGGAAATAGAACGCTTAAAAAACCACAAGCACAGTCGTTGCTCTCAAAGAGTGGGCGCAGCGAAAGGGTGTGCACGAAGGGGTATTCTCACTGCGAAGATTTACAGATTGGTTTAAAAGTCTGAAAGAGTATGAGCCAGCTTGATAAAATAAGTATCTAAGAACGCATACCACAGACTCTTAATACTACACGAAGTCAGGCAAGCAGCTTGAGTGCTTGCCCTTTTGTCCTAGAAATCTATTGTTTTAATTGGCTGTCATTCCCCAAGTGACAGTTTCTGAAACTCTGGAACGAACTCAACTTTCCACTAAGCTTCATTTATTCATTTATTTTTCATTCGTTTCGAGGTTATAGATAGACAGAAAATCGTTTCTTTTCCATTACTTCAAATAATGCGACGAGGGTATAGGCTCGTTGCAGATAATTCTCTTACTAATGGTTTATGAATGGGTGTTGAAAGCGTTGGTCCAGTTCTTTCAATTTTGTTTCATTATCTTATCACAAATCTCTTTATGAATTGCTTGACATGTTCCTTACAAAACTAACAGACAAAAAATCCACTTACCACACCTATAACTATTCCCTTCTTTTCGAACAATTCAAATCCTTCAGATTTGGGTCTCTTCTTCAGAAGTTTCACCAAGCTTTCCTTGTTCACCTGGTCTTTATCATCTTTATCAAGCAAGTTCACTGTTTCCTTTGTAGCCTTCTTCTGAGGGTAAGTGTTTTCAACAATGCTGCTTGAATCTAAAGAAGAAGAAAATTGAATTTACACAGTTTTGGTGAAAGGCAGTGGTGACATATATAATACCACTACTACTGCCGGATACTTCACGCGCTGTAGTTGGCCAATTTCGTATGTGCAGTAACAATAACAACGACAGCAACAGCAATTAAAACAAAAGCAACAACAGATCAACATGTTACATGAGCTGTTATTGGCTTTACTTTAAAGCCAGTTAACAATTGGTTCATGCTTTAGCGTGCACTATCGAGTTATAGAGCACGTGGGAAGTTTGGAGAGCACGACAGAAGCGTAAGAGTTGCCCGAGGCAATAGCAATATCTGGTTCTGTCCTCGTGTACCGGTTCGCAAGAGCCAATACAAAAGACCAAACAATACACAATAGCTAACCGATGACTCCTAAACAAAGAAAGAACAATGGTAATTCCCTTGTGAACCGGTACACCAGGACAGAACCCAATATCTCCATAACTCGATAGTGCACAGCTAAAAGTATGAACCAATTGTTTTAGAACATAGCCGGTGGAATTGTGCATCAAATCCGAAGCGAAAAACGGACAACAGTATCAAGTGAAGCAAATCGTGACGGCGCTGATGCCGAGTCTCCTTTTCCGTTGTTTTTCCCTTTTTCTGCCTCATTTAAGAACTATAGCCCATGGGAAAAGGTCGGAAAATTGTCTTTGTTTCGGGACTAGTGGGCCGAGTCTCTGTTTGTATCCATTATTGTCGCGAAATATACTATTTTTCCCCGCGCTAATAATGGCCGCTCGCGCGAAAAAAAAAAAAAAAAAAAATTCTGGCGAAGCGATTTGCTGACCCTATCAGCGTGCACTATCGGGATTTTGAGCACGCTTACGTATATTGAATTTGATTGCGCGGCTCTGCTAGCCATGTTCTAATAGCTATTATTACCATGTTAAATTGCGCACAGTAGATGAAGACATAAGGCTACTCTCTGCCAGGTAATCCATGGGTGTCATCATGTGCTTTCGCTCACCCTCAGTGAGGCTGTAACACTTATTCACATCACTTACTGCAACATTCACCAACCTGATGTCTCTATCACACTCTTCACATTTCTTCTCCTTCTCCTCCTTTGTTTCCCAGCTTCCTCATCGCTGTAGTTACGACTTGGTAGTGGTGGACCTGTTACACAGGGTAAGAACATAGCAGAAACCCTTAGTAACATTTGGGAGAAGTTTTGGTGTTAAAGACTATTACAGTCTTAATTTTCAAAACAAGACGTTTCACTTGTGAGTCTGGTGTGAAAGCCCAAGCAAAGGTCATTGGGTTGTGTTGTGTTGTTAAGGAAAACATTCCACCCTGACTGTACCAACTTCGCCCTATGAGAACTGGCAAACCACCAGAGGGAATCTAAGAGACACTTGGGCGTTAACTGGTTACTCCACTGTATGGAATAAGATCCTTCAAAGGGCGGAAGTGGAAAGGGGGTAACAAAACTTCAAGTGACCTTATCCTAGGGAAACCAAGACAAGCGCTATCTCCAATTCTTTGAATCTTTAACCCTTTACATCCTGACATCAGTATGCATATTCTCCATACTGTTCTCTACACATTTCCTAAGGTGCTGACAAGGAGAATTTGTGAAACAATCAAGAACTTCTTTAGTTGGTGATGATTATCTTTATTCTTGTGACCGTAATGTGTGATTCAGGGGTGATATCGTGAGGAGAAGTGAGATGCTGGTCACTCTTAAAACTTGTAGAGGTGATTTTATGAACAAGTAACTTTTCTTAACTACAGTGTATCATAACATTATCCACCAAGCAGGTGACAAAAATTGACAAACACATCATCTGGAGGGTTTTATTCAAACACAACACCAAATTCTTTAAACACAGTTAAAAAGAAATCTCTGGCAGATGCAAGAGAGGATTACAAATACAGAGCTACACAACAGAAAGGGTATGAAGAGATGTTTCTCATAACTGTAAACACCATAGATAATTTCACCTTTCAGCTGTGATCACACACAATAAGATATCAGTTTTGTTCTTAACACATACCTTCATCTCCTGACTCTGGCGAGTGTGGGCTGTTTTCATCTGTAGATGTCAGGTCTGGCCCAAACAAGTGCTCCTTAATAGATTCATTGATTACCTTTTGTAGTATTCTATGATATAAAAGAAAGTATCTTAATGCTCCGCTAAAAATCATTGCTTATTAGCTATTTCAGGGCATAGTGTAAATCATATACCGTAAAACCTCTATTAAGCCCCCCCCCCTTTGATAACCCCCCTCATTAGAGGAAGAAATTTATCAAGGCCCCCCACCCCTACTCCTAAAAAAACAAAAATTCAAAATAACAATGCATGTCAGTAATTACAATAAATTTATTCAAGAAGTGGAATTTTAGTTTGTCATTTAAAATTGATTATGGTGATTGACTGAGTGATTGATGTTATCATGTTGGCATCAGTAGAATATGCTAGACAGACTTCACATCAGACTTTACTGTGGATTTTGACTCTGCTGATTTGGTAAATGAAAAATGGAAAATGAGAACAATTTTTGAATAAATACAGTAGATCATATCTTATTGTATTCTGGTAGTGAATATCAGGCTAAGTTAATTAGCCCCTTCCTCTATTGAGCCCCCTTCCCCTCTAATAAGCCACCCCCCAAAGTACCTGAAATAAATAAGACCCCCTTGGGGAGCTTATTGGAGGATTTACGGTGGTTAAGATATGAAAACTGACGGGCATTTCAATGAAATCTCTCATTCAACCAAGGCTTGACCTATGATAAGAGGTGTACATTAGATTGGGGGTTTTCCAATGCAAAATACTCACTGGCAGTTTATTTCAAGGACCCATGTCTTTATTCCTTAGTCTTCACAAAGTAAATGAAAGGTGTACTTCTTTCTCAGTTTGTATCAAAATCTAGTGACACCCTAAAGGTAATTAACTGTAATTTGTATCTAGTGCTACTAATACTTACTCCTTGCCAGCAGGGGGCTTCGTAGATTCTGGTGTGGGGCCTAAACCACTGGAAAGGTAAGGTGTTACATACATTTTTAAAGGTGTATACCCAATTGTTTCTATGGCGAAGTTCAATTCCTCATGCCTTTCTGACACACTGTAGACAATCTACATCCCACTGTACCAAATTTACACAAGCCAGAATACACGTAAATAATAATAATAAGAATAAGAATACTAATACTACTACTACTACTACTACTACTACTACTAATAATAATAATGATAATAATAATAATTGAGAAGTGAACATTCCACAGGGTGGCTCTTCTTGTCCACTGTTTTCAGGTCATATTGGAATTTGCAATGTTGGTTTTGCAGAGCATCAAAAACAAAGGATACAGAGAAGAAACCTCAGAGCAAGGACAAGAAGTAACAACAATCCTGAGCATGAAAATAAAAGGGCTTGAAGTAAAAACTAATTTTCATGCTGCAAAAGGGCAAAATATTTGCATTGTTGGCAAAAATTTTCCCTGTGGCCACTGTAATTCATGACAGAACATGAAAAATTTACCAACAGTTTAAAAAAACATTTCCACATATCATGAAATTGTCTGCTAAAATTGATCATATTCAAAATAAACAAAAATTATATACAGTAGTTTCCATACATGAAAAACTGAGAAACTAGTAAGAATGGGCATAAATTTATGTGATATAATCCACCCTCCTTCAGTAATACAGTTGCAAATTAAGCAAGGGTGATGCAATTTGTTATCCTCATACTGCAATGCCAATACAAGCAAGATCATGCATGTCTCTGAATACATGCAATATCTTTACTTTTATGTCCTGTTTTTGAGTGAGTCACATTTGAGTTTAATCTGAAGTGCTCAACCAAAAACAGTCACACAGAACAGAAGGAAAAAACAAAGGGATTACTCACTTTAATGTAAAAGTAAAACCATAAATCATCATTTTGTTTTCCCTCAGAAAAAACCCTGGGATCAAACATTTGATCCACAAATGCAGGCATTCATGGCATACATTACAGATTACAGATAACTTTACACTCAGTTAGTTTATTTGTTTACCTTTGTTGAGTATTCCATGACGGTGAAACAGACCTCACATACATATCCAGGTCTTCTGAAGGTGGTGTTATACTAAAAGAAACTGGTAAATTAAAAAAGGCCGGACAAAAATTTATCCCAAATATTACAAAATATACCAAAGGCACACAAATAAATCAATAATTGCCTACTATAGCACCTGCACTGAGTGTATTTCCATCCTTAATAACATGCTGTTTTAATTATTCAGGGCAGGAAAGCATTGTCAAATAACAAATGTCTACTTCATCTACATCACAGCCACACAAAAAAGCACTCAGCTTACATGAGAAATCTGCTACGTAAGCAAGATTTCAGATTTCTAATTTTTGTTGTAACACTTATCGAAATGACACACATCTTCCTTCCAAAATAATAATTTAATTATGGAACCCTCAGACAATGTGGCGGCTGTAAACTGCCCACAAAATGTGCAAATACAGAACATCTGCCTCAGTAAATTGCCAGTCTGTTTGATTTCTACACTAATCAAGCATAATGCAAATTCAAAGGCAGGCATGAAAATGCTTTTAAGTTTTATATTAAGTGACATTTAATAATTTGGCATGGAAGACTTATGGTCAGAATATTATGGCTAATTCAGAACTTGCCAATACAACTTAAGGTAAGCTTTTGATTGGAAAACTAAATAACATCAAGTCTGACATGGTCAATTTCAAAGAGCTTCCTAGAGTACAAATGTAGTAGTGCTGAAACAATGTCAACCATTAGCACAATCAAACATTCAATTTTTGCCTAGCTACATTGGAAATAACATGAATTATCACCCCACATAATGACATGATGGAAATAAACGATGGGGAAACACAAGAGATATATGTTATCTACTGATTGAAATTATCTTGGTTAGAGATACACCATACCTTGCGTCAAACATAATGGTGTCAACCCCATAAAACTCAACACATGTCTGTGGCTATGACTTCAGAATAAATTGGATACCGATAAAAATGAAGTTTATCTTGTAAAAAAAAAGAAACCTTGCAGTCTTCTTCATCTAAGAATCTGTGTAAAGCTTGGTAATGTTCATTTACATGTGAGATGTTAGAGAGAGTGAAAACAACATACTTGTTCCACAGCCATGAACACAACCAATATTTCTAAGATGTTCATTTGCATACGAAGACATGCAACTCTTAAGAGCAATTAAATTTTTGACACTTGGAGGAGATAACATCACACTTACAAGCTAGTGTAAAATGCCATACATGTTCCAGTTATTAAAACAAAAAGACACTGTAACAAAATGTTTTTTGCAATTCAAAATTGAAGGATTTAACTAAACTAAAAAAATTTGTCAGAGCCTTTACATGACTGTAGCTCTGCATCCATTATACCACCACTGAATCAATAGAAACCACTAAGAAACAGTAATTTTCTCTGTAAACTGCATGTAATGCTAAGATAAATATTCAAGAGCAACAACCACCACATAATTATCTTAACTAAAATACTTTTAGGATGTTTTTGTTACGTTATCATTGTACTCTATTTTTTTGAGAACTTACATACATTAGTACACTGTAAGAACAAAACCTGTCGAGTCATGACACTATTTTGGGTATTTCAGCAATTTTTGCTGACAATGCAGCAATACATTTCATTGCATCATTTCCATTATAAGGAGCAGCATTTTTATGCAGTTCATGTATTATGTCACAAACTGCTCTTAGGATGTGAATAACATTTGTACCCACTTAAAATACAAACAGGATGTGGTGGAGTAAATGTAAAATTGTTTACTACAAGTTGGAAGAGATCAACACAGAGAATGCACACATCAATGGCTGAGCCAAACGAATAAATTGGATTCAAGAAAAGGTTAACTCCATGAACCACTGTCAAAAGAGGTACATGTAGTTAAGTGCTGTATTCACAACAAAGACTGAGGTCATGCCAAAATTAACAATACCGCTGTCTTTTTGCAGTTAATCAGATGCAAAATTGACCACAAAACGGTCTATGAAAGTTGTTTGCATGGAGATGAAGGCATGCGGTCCACAGGCCATTGTTTAGTATATTGAGTGGCTGAATGTAATTACCACATAGTTGACCATGAAATCTTACTGGTCAAAAGCACACATCCTACATATTGTTATAGATCTTTATTCCACTCCTCCCTACCATGAGTAACACTTGGTTACTTACAATCAAAGGTATTGACTGCTCAACCCTCTAAAGCACAGGAGGTGACCAATATATGGATACACAATAAAGTATAAAAGTGATAAAAAGAAAGAAAAATTTTAACTATAGGGGACATTGTTTGATTCAACCTGAAATTTTCAAAATTAAAATTGTAACAAATATCACTGCTAGGAACTGTTGCCCTAAATTTGCTTAGTACATTAAGACACCAAACCCTCAGTTTTACTACTGGTATGTAGTAGTGGCAACAGAATTTGATTTTCAGAGCTGAAATCTTCTCATGAAAAAAAAAAGTGGTTAACCAGGGCTCGAATTTAATTTTTGGAGCACTAACCCTTTGGGTTAGTAGACATCTTTTTTACTAACCAAATTATAAAGTTTGGTATCCCAGCTCACAAGTTACGATATCTCAAATATTCAACATTTTGATAATAATGACTAGGACAACTTAAAGAGTGGCTGAAATTGCATAGGTGACCTTAAAAACATTGACAATTAAGCACTTATTTTATTTCCCTCTCGTTTACCATGATTAGTCAAGAACAGTACATCTACAGCACATTCTCTAACAAGAGTTCAAGTTGATTTAACAACTTGAGTATTCTAAGTATTCTTCTGAGAGTTGGGTCTACATGCTCTTTGTCCCAAAGTTCACTAATGTTTAAATGTGATAGAAAATTTTACTAACCATGTTGGGTTAGTTGGACACATTTTTAGTAACCAAATGTTGAAAATTACTAACCATTAGTGAACGGGTTACCGTTAATTTTGAGCCCTGTTAAGTACAAGATATAAAACATATCAACTATAGCAACTGCTTCAAATTTCTGAAAGCATGGATAAAAGGGAAAGTCTTCAAAAAAGGAGTAAGGCAAGAATAAAAGGAAAAAAAAAACAGAAGAAAGCCTTAAGTTGTTACTTACTGAGTGGAGGGTTGTGGAGACTTTTTTGCCTTCTTAACTGTGGCATAAGTGGGGCCATCTTCTTGGGCTTTCTCTTTCTCTCTAGTAAGATGAAATGAGTCCTCATCACTAGCTGAGCTTTCATTCTTTTCATTGACAATCTGTAAAAATGCACATTAGAAGAGTCATCATAACAGCATTGTACATTCCCTTGATGGAAAATATGATACTCTGACACCTTTCTCCACCCTAGGATCTTCACACACACTGTAAGGTCACCTGCAGCCTGTCAAGGAAAGAAACCTCAACCAATGGAATAGTTTAACATCCAAATCCAAGAGAGGGGGGCGGAGGAGGGGGGAAAAGAGACAACCAAGTCAAGTGTTTTAACACCTCTATTGCTTTATCATTTCCTAACTCGCACCTTTTGAAGTGATTTGTTGTGTGCCTGTAGCACTGGAGGGTCATTTGTCCTAAAAAGATATGACAGAGAGATGTTAGATAACATGGTTATTTAGTTAAGGTACATCATCACTACATGTTGATTCACTCTCAGTGTCTGCAATCACACAACCAGGGCTAAATTAAGCCAACTTTGAACTCTACTCTTAAATTAAGTAAAAAATATTTCAGACTGCTTTAGCCATATTTTTATGCTTCTTTAAATGCTGCTTCCTATTGAGTAGAATTCTTTATATTTATAAAAATTCAGCTGTATGACCACATCAAAATCAACAGCAACAATTTACTCACATTGCCTCTTGAACTCTAAATATGTCATTGGTGGCATAAGGAGATACCTATAAGTAAAAAAGTTTTGGCCTTTATTATAACGAGAAAAAATTACAAATGAAAGTGAGACAACAATGACAATTTAAACTTCTTCTTTTTAGTAAAAGACGGACCATAGAAATTACCAACCTCAAATAAAGTGTCAAATTCTTCAATAAACCTGCCAACTATTGCATTAGTGCGACCTTGTTCGCGGAGACCTTCTAATCCATCACCACATCTGTAACAATGCAATTTGTGATACATTTACCACCACATCAGTTAACTCTTTATACCCTTACACTACTGTGCATAGTCTCCATACTGTTCTCTATAATCCGAAGGAGCTAATAAGAAAAAATATTTTTTTAACAGTTAAAAACTTTTTTAGTTGGTGACCATCTCGTTTAGTCGAGATCGTGACCTTAATGTTTGATTCCAGGGTTACGTTGTAAGGAGAAATTAGATGCCAGCCTTTCTTAGGGGTCAAAAAGTTAACTCATAAGCCAAAGACAGCCAGACAGAGTTACTGTACAAGGTAGCATACGTGTATCCTATGTAGATTACCATTAAGAAAAATTTTCTTAACCTCTTACTTAACTGTTGATAATACCAGTTATAAAACACTTTTTCAAGACGATTGGATGACTTGCCAATTTGGGCATGGGTCATTAATTAACTTTCCTTAATAGGCAAATATAGCAAAAGCGTGTTGGGTTGTTACCTGAAAAAGTTTGGTCCAAATACTATGGATAAAGCTGTTGGACTCATTTTATTGTTTTCTACGAAAGACAACAACACATACATGTGAGTAATTCAACAGTGCAATCATGGACAACATCTCAAAATTTAATGATTAGCTACATGACTTGTATAGAAAAGTTCACTGACTAAATTACCTTCACTCATAGACACAGTCACAAGAAACCGGCAAAGGTACTTGAGCAACTTGTAATTGGATGTTGGAAGCTTCTCTAACAATGCCTTCATATCAGAGAGACCCCCTCCATCATCTTTATGGGCTAAAACACGTACCAAAATACAAATACAAAATAGAAAGAGTACTTGTATGTCTTAATAATTTAGGAGTCTGGAAACTGTCTAAAATATTGTTTGAAATAATCATTTACCAAAGAAACTGCTATACTTCACAACAATTTTGAGCCCTTAAAAGAAAGCCTTTAATGCAAATGTGTAAAATTCCAATAATCTTTTACGTGTGTTTGATATCGCCAATAAGCTGTACACATGTCACTCGCCTTTTGCACCACTCTGTCAGGTTGATGACTGAATGGTAAAGCATTAGTGTCAGTAAAGATTTATGGCTATTATATAATAAATGAAATAGAGAAGAATGCATGAAAGCGTGTGGATATGAAATGATCTCTCTTTAGTGAGATATCTTATTGAACACTCAAAGAGAAATTCCATGTCTATGCACCTCTGTGTATTATTCTCTACGTTTTATGTATGAACTCTATCGCACATGGATGTCACAAGCTCATCATTAAGATATTATTTCTTTCACACCTTGATAAATTTTAATGAAATCAGCTGTCATATCTTGAGGAATAGGTGGCTCAGGTAGTTCTCTCTAATAAATAGAAACAGACACTCAAACATGTTTTTGCATAAAGTAAAAAAAAAAGGTTATCATTCTGAACAATTTCAGATTCAAATAAAAAACTTCCCCCATCAGTAGAAAAGAGATTTCAGTCAAAAGGGAACAATTTCATGATGTGTGTTTAAAAAGTATGATTTCCAATTTCTGCTTCATAAATTAACTGATCAGAAAGTCAATTAGCCAAATTATTACATCCATTTTGAAATCACTGGTGGTCCCTGTAATCTGATTGGCTCTAATTGGTGCGATTTATTCATGAATCGCACCATTTTTTTGCTCTAAATTGCATCATTTTACGCTTGACTGAGTTTTTAACACATGACGTCAAACTCTTTCTGTTTTGTATACAAAATAAGATGTAAAAGCATTTCCGGTTCTGCTTTTTATTTAAAAACCAGCTCAGTACTGCATCAATAAAATATTTGAATTGACTAAGTCCTGTATTTGGGCGATTTCAAAATGGATGTAATAAAGTGGTAATTGAACCTCATTTCATGCAAATTTTCATCTGAAATAACACGTATGATTTCAGCCTAAATTGCACTCCACTCAGTTCAATTACCATTATCAATTGATCTGTGAATCATTCACCAATGGCCAATGACTCTCTTCTCACCAAGAAAAGTTTGAGTAAACCAGCCACAGCTATAACATCTCCAACCTGATCCAAGTTGGCTTTGCCATCTTGATGGAAGAGAACAAAATACAGTATAAACATTACTTCTTTTTGTATCAAGACCAGAGTTTCAAATTCCAATTCACCATCAGA